GAGCTGAGATCCGGCCACTGCACTCCAGCCTGGGCGACAGAGCAAGACTCCGTCTCAAAAAAAAAAAAAGAATGGTTCTCTTGCTGAGAATGGAGCTCATCCTGGTGGCCAGTTGTGATGAGAGGCCAGGTCAGAAGTAACCTTATGGTGCCCTTCAGAAACAGGCAGGTGAGGCCGGGTGTGGTGACTCACACCTATAATCCCAGCACTTTGAGAGGCCAAAGCAGGTGGATCGATTGAGCCCAGGAGTTTGAAACTAGCCTGTGTAACATGGCAAAACCCTGTCTACCAAACATTGGCTGGACGTGGTGTCATGCATCTTTGGTCCCAGCTATTTAGGAGGCTGAGGTGGGAAGATCACTGGAGCCTGGGGAATGGAGGTTGTAGTGAGCAATGATTGTGCTATTGTACTCCAGCCTGGATGACAGAGTGAGACCCTGTCTTAAAAAGAACAGGCAGGTGAGACTATGAAAGGCCAGAGGGCAGGACTCCAGCCAGCAACCTGGATGCAGGATCCTGAATGCTGGTAGGCTGGCTCTTGGTGCTACGCTACTCAACACATCCTTGGCTACACTTTGCTTCTTTCTAGGTACTAAAGTCTCTGCTCAGCAGATGATAGAAATGTGAATTTTAGCTAAGGGACCAAAGCAAATAGGGAAAATGAGAAGCCTCAGAGTTCCTTTCACATATACCATGGTTTCCTAGAGCTAATTGGTGAACCAGTTAGCACAACTGGAGAATTGGTATATTCAGCTGTGGTCTCATAGGGGTTTTGTTTAATTTTTATTTTTGGAGACAGGATCTCACTTTGTCACCCAGGCTGGAGTACAGTGGCAGGATATCATGACTCACTGCAGCCTTGACGTCTCAGGCTCAAGTGATCCTCCCACCTCAGCTCCCTGAGTAGGTGGGACTACAGGAGCACACCACCATGCCTGGCTAATTTTTTTTTTTTTTTTTTTTGATATGTGGGGGTCTTGCTATGTTGGCCAGGCTGGTCTCAAATTCCTGGGCTCGAGTGATCCTCTCAAAGTTGCTGGGATTGCAAGCGAGAACCATTGCGCCTAGCCGGGAGATTTCTTTTCAAAATTTTAAACTTGTGGTTTTTTATTTATTTGTTAAACTAGCACAGGGATTTTTGTTTTGTTTTGTTTATTTTGAGACAGAGTGTCGCTCTTATTGCCCAGGCTGGCGTGCAATGGCATGATCTCAGCTCACCACAACCTCCGCCTCCCGGGTTCAAGCGTTTCTCCTGCCTCAGCCTCCTAAGTAGCTGGAATTACAGGCATGTGCCACCATGCCCGGCTAATTTTGTATTTTTAGCAAAGACGGGGTTTCTCCATGTTGGTCAGACTGTTGAACTCCTGACCTCAGGTGATCTGCCCACCTTGGCCTTCCAAAGTGCTGGGATTACAGGCATGGGATTACCAGGCACCCGGCCAGGATTTTATTTATTTTTCTTCCCCGCCCCCCAACTAGCAACTTGGAAGATTTCCATTCTAATACCAGGCAGGTGGACTTAGCCCAAGGGCCCTGAATCATCTAAATGAGCTACAAATTTCCAAATAAAATGGCTTGTGTCTTTGTAAGGCTTTTAAAGCCTTCCAATTTGCTTCATATTCTTAGAGCTGAAGGAAACCTTTGAGATCATCTCAGCAGTGAGCCAAACAGAAGTCCTGAGATGAAACAGGCTGAAGCCAGCAGAACTTAACCAGGTTTAGTTTACATCCCTGTGCCTCCAGCCAGGCTAGGCCTCACATCTGAGTCAGAGCAGCACAACGCAGCACAGCTTTGAATAAGAATAACAAACAGCTAGGACATATAGAATAGTTTACAAAGCCATTTTGATTTTTTGATACCCAAATCCTGTATTCTTTTCCCTAAACCAGATGGAGAAGAGTGATACCTCCCTCCGGCCTGTCAGTCTGTGTATAGTGTCCCCATCAAACTCCAGCCAAAAGCTTTGGACACATCCTTGATTCATGTCCTTTTATCAGAAAATCCTGGTGACTCTACCTTCAAAATATGTCCAGAATCCATATTTAGTGATACTTAGAAATAATTGCTCAGTTTTGCACAATCATACAGCTTTTTATGGAGTCCTTATCTTTGAGGATACATAGTGAAGGATTTGCAGAAGAAATGACGAGCAATCTGAAATTTGCTTCAAGTCTGGGTGCAGTGGTTCATGCCTGTAATCCCAGCTCTTTAGGAGGCCAAGACGGGAAGATCATTGAGGCCAGGAATTCAAGACCAGACTGGGCAATGTAGAGAGACACACTACCACCTCTACAAAAATTTTAAAAATTAGCTGAGCGTGGTGGTTCTTACCTGTAATTGAAGTTACTTGGGAGGCTGAGGTGAGAGGATAGCTTGAGCCCAGGAATTTGAGACTACAGTGAACTATGACTGCAACTGCACTCCAGCCTGGGTAACAGAACAAGACCCTGACTCAAATAAATAAAAATGACCATGTATTGATAATGTTGAAGGTGAACGATGGGTAGAGGGGATTCATTACTCTCTTCTGTATATCTTTGAGATTTTTCATAATAAACATATAAAGGAACAAATAGCACAATGTATGCCCTCCTCCCAGATAATATCAGACCACTTATAACCTGCCCAACCTGGTATGAACCACCAACAACTCTTGCCTGCACACTAGATTATAGATAGCACCAGCCCATAACAGGTCTCTTGGCTTCCATTCTTGACCCCTCCAGTCTCAACCCAGCTGCCGAATGGGATCCTGTTTAAGATAGATCAGGTCACTCCTCACTCATGCTCCTAAATAAGCTCCCATCTATCTCAACTCAGACTAAAAGCCACAGCCATAAGAACCTGCGAGGCCCTCACAGTCTGGCTTCTCACCTCATCTACCTGTTCCCCGAGTCAATCTGTTCAGCCACACTGGCCTCCTTGATGTTTCTTGAACACAAGAGGCATTCTGCCTCAGTACTTTGCACTGATTCTTATTGTAGTTTATATTAGGAACATTCTCAAATACACAGGAGAGTTGAGACAGCAGTATAGTGATTACCTTTATGGACACCAGCTGGATTCAATAATGGCTAAGATTTTGCCATATTTGCTTTATTTTCATGCCTGTATATGTACACAAACATCTATTTTTCTGAACACTTCGAAAGTAAATTGCAGCCAGGCACGGATGGCTCACGCCTGAAATCCCAGCAATTTGGGAAGCCAAGGTGGGAGGATCTCTTGAGCCCAGGAGTTCAAGACCAGCCTGGGCAACATAGGGAGACCCACCAACTCTTAAGAAATACAAAAAAATTAGCTGGGTGTGATAGCACTGGCCGCTAGGTACAGCTACACAGGAGGCTGAGGTGGGAGGATCACTTCAGCCCAGAAGGTGAAGGTTGCAGTAAGCTAAGATTATGCCACTGCATCCCCAGCCTGGGTGATAGAGTGAGACCATCTCAAAATGTTTTGAGATGAAGTTTCGCTCCTGTTTCCCAGGCTGGAGTGCAATGGCGCAATCTCTGCTCACTGCAACCTCCGCCTCCCGGGTTGAAGCGATTCTCCCGCCTCGGCCTCCTGAGTAGCTGGGATTGAAGGTGTGAGCCACTACGCCTGGCTAATTTTTGTATTTTTGTAGAGACGGTTTCACCATGTTGGCCAGGCTGGTCTCGAACTCCTTACCTCAGGTGATCCGCCCTTCTCGTTCTCCTGAAGTGCTCTGATTACAGGCATGAGCCACCGCTCCTGGCCTCAAAATTTTTTTAAAAAAAGAAAGGGGTGGCTGGGTGCAGTGTCTCACACCTGTAATCCCAGCACTTTGGGAGGCCAAGGCGGGCAGATTGCGAGGTCAGGAGTTTGAAACCAGCCTGGCCAACGTGGTGAAACCCCGTCTCCACTAAAAATAAGAAAATTAGCCAGGTGTGGTGGTGGGCGACTGTAATCCCAGCTACTCAGAAGACTGAGGCAAGAGAATCGCTTGAACCTGGGAGGTGGAGGGTGCAGTGAGCCAAGATTGTGCCACTGCACTCCAGCCTGGGGGACAGCAAGACTGCATCTCCTGGGGAAAAAAAAGGAGGGGAGTTGGGGGGGGCACGTGTTCTCAGGACCTCCTGAGGGCTGTGTCACGGAAAAATCAAAAAGGTGTTTTAAAGTACATTGCAGACATGACCTCAGGTTCCTGGTACCAAAAGGTGGCAAGTGCCGGGTCTGAGGGACTCCACCCAAGGAGTTAATGCCCGTGCTCCCTTGAACATAAACTGGATATCCAAGAGTGATGCTGTCTTTTCAGGTACGACTTTCTCTCCCGAATCGGAAATCCACTCATCTGCTCCAGGTTGTTTAGCCTGGAAAATTCCCCAAACACAAACATCAATTTTAAAGCCCAAAGGGTCTGGGCACGGTGGCTCACAACTGTAATCCCAGCACTTTGGAAGGTGGGCGGATCACCTGAAGTCGGGAGTTGGAGACCAGCGTGGCCAACATGGCAAAACCCCATCTCTACTAAAAATAGAAAAATTAGCCAGGCGTGGTGGCTGGCACCTGTGGTCCCAGCTACTCGGGAGGCTGAGGCACAAGAATCGCTTGAACCCAGGAGGCGGAGGTTGCAGTGAGCCAAGATCGTGTCACTGTACTCCAGCCTGGGTGACACAAAGCAAGACTCTGTCTCAAAAATAAATAAAATACTATTAAATTTAAAAATACTCCATTGTGAAGTCCATGTAGCCAGTTGATTCTCACAGAATGCTTCTATTGACTTTTGCCAAACTTTCATATCCACAGCCAACCTATGGTTATGGTTGCAATTGACAAAAGAATGTTAGCTCCCATGAGAGTATTGGTTGATATTTTTGTTTGCATTAACAAATAAGACAAAAGTGAAACAACAAAGACATATATGTTGGAACTTCAACTCACCTGTCGATGTAAGCAGCTTTTTTGCTGACTTGGAGAATAGTTCTTGAATACTGAAAGAATATTTCCTTAATTTTTAACTTTTTTTTAATTTTTAGAGACAGGGTCTCTATTGCCCAGGCAGGAGTGCACCCTGCTACTCACAGGCACAATCACAGCACCCTGCAGCCTTGAACTCCTGGGCTCAAGTGATCCCCCTGGGACTACAGGCACATGCCATCACCCTTGGCAATTTTTTTGTACAATTCACAATGTAATGGCTACAGTGACAGCACATTTCTAAGTTTAACCTGCGTTTTTAAATATTTTCTCCATCACTTAACTAGACAATCACCAAAACAATTAACCAAGTTCTGATTTGTAGTGTTTGCCAATTTCCATGGCTGATTTGAGGCTACCAACATGTCACTGAACAAGGAGTTGGGAGGAGATGCACGTAGCACACCATTACATAGCATTTCTACCATGCAGATACAACAGGTGTGAATAACTTCAAGGGCATCATAGAGAATAGTAAAATGTAGTAAAATAATTAGGAAGTGATGAGATTTTAGTATTTATTACCTTTTTTTTTTTTTTTTTTTGACAGTCTCACTCTGTCAAAACATATATATATATGTTTTTTGTGGGTTTTTTGAATTTTTTGGCTGGGCATGGTGGCTTATCCCTGTAATTCCAGCACTTTGGAAAGGCCATGGCAGGAGGACTGCTTGAGCCCTGGAGTTCGAAAC